CGAAATATATATCTATAGCCCAAGTAACATTGAAAGTTTTATCGAGGTTTTAAATCATGCTACAAGTGTAAATCATGGTCTACAGAACCCTCATAAAACCAAAATTGTTACTTGGGTCTATCACCAATTACCTTATTATTACTACAAAATCCAGTAGCATCTACTTGCTTATTCCCGTGACTTTAAAGTGATGCCAATTTGAAGATTATCGGAAAGTTCGATAAAATTTTCGTCAAAATCAATTTATTTCTATGTGAATCACTCAAATGTAATCTCTCCCGCAAAACACGTGATATTTACGTGAAAAGTATGATGGAAAATATACATGTACGTGCCTATTCAGGTGAATTTTACGTAACTCCTTGTTGCAGTGTAGGCTTGGATAACTTTTAAGATCTCAATGTAAAACAGCCAGACTATTGGGTTTAGAGTTTTTTTAGAAATCTCTGAAAATTTATGATAGGTTTATGACTATTTCAAGATACAAATAAATAAAATATTAGATTTCGTGAACAGTACAAGTTTCCATATGTTCGTAACTCTTCTTGTCAGATTTTACTCTGAGTTTTAAAGTCAAATTATTTACTCTCAACATAGGTCGTAAAAAAGTGACTTTAGAGACTAAATTTTTAAGAATAGTGACTTTAGTGACTTTTTGATGAAAAAAGTGACTGACTTGAAAATAGTGACCAAGTTACTAAAAAGTGACCTGCCCTGTAAGCACAACCCACCCTCTGTCTCTATTTTTCGAGTGGATTTTTGACGGAGAACTACGTCTTTGTCGACTATACTGGGGTGCAAATAAAAAAAATATGTGAGGTGAAATAGTGTTAGGTTTTGAACACTTGTAACTTTGTCATTTATAGATGAAATTAAAATCCAAACACGCCAATCGATAGGATATTACATTACAAACCTGCGGAACTAAATAGTTTTCCAATTATCCATAATAAAACTTTTGAAAAATTTACAAATGATAATTTTATCACTGTTTTCATGAAATAAGTGTTTTTCCCAAACCCAGTCATCATAATCGAGTACCACTTGGTTGCACATCGTTCTGAAAAGATATAAAACAGCGCTGCTGTCGCGCTTTTGCTCATAGCAGCTGTTAGAAGCAGTAAAAACATGAAGACCGCGAGTATGGAAGGTGTTGTCAACCTAGAGTTTAAAAACTTGAGTATTGACTTCTTCAACTATCTTAACGTTATCTTCAACAAATGTTTGGAGCTTAGCTACTTCCCTGCATGCTGGAAGTTAGCCAAAGTGATCCCAATACACAAGCCTGGCAAAGATCCTACCAGTGCCAAAAGCTATCAGCTTCTTGTCCTCCATCTCGAAGCTATTCGAAAAGTTGATACTCAGCCGTCTGCTGGTGTTTTCAAATGAAAATAATATCTTTCTCAAAGAGCAATTCGGGTTACTAACTCGCACGGGTTACTAACTCGCACGGGTTACTAACATCATCAAGCGGAACAATTCCGTTTCCAATACATCTGCCATGGCATTGTTGGACGTCGAGAAGGCGATCGACAATGTCTGGCATGATGGTCTAGTGTACAAGCTGCATCGATACAACTTTCCGATCTACCTCGTGAAGATCATCAAAAACTACTTGTCGGGCAGATCATTCCAGGTCTACATGAACAATGTCCCCTCTGATACGTTCAACGTTGATGCAGGGGTCCCTCAGGGTAGCCTGCTTGGACCTATCCTATTCAACATTTTCACGTCAGACGTTCCTCCCCTGCCGGGTGGTGGTATCCTGTCAATGTTCGCAGATGACACCTCTATCATCATAAGGGTCGAGTAATTCGTGCTCTGGCGAGTAAACTACACTTAAGCCTGGATGTTCTGTCCGACTATTTCAAGAGCTGGAAGATTTGTATCAATGCAGCTGCTAACGTCAAAGTCCATCTTGATAGCATTCCCATTGAATGGTCGAGTGAAGTAGTCTACCTTGGTCTCACCCTCGATAGTAAATTGCAGTTCCGATCCCATGTGGACAAGACATCCACCAAGTGTAACATCTTGATCAGGTCGCTCTACCCTCTGATAAACAGGAAGTTCACCCTGTCCCTCAAGAATAAGCTTGCTGTTCACAAGCAGATCATTCTGCCGGCTATTGAGTATGGTATGCCAATCTGGGAGAGTTGTGCTAAGTGCCACCACCTAAAGCTTCAGAGGATCCAAAACAAGATCCTCAGAATGATCCTTAACCGCGAACTCGTAATTCTGAGATTCACCACCTGGCCGGTCTTCAAACACTCAAGTAAAAGACGACTTCCAGCGAAAGACTTCCACTAGACTGATGCAAAATTTGACTTTTTCGCTCCACAGTGCTTAAATGGTTTCAAATCGGGTTCTGATTAGTCTCCCTAAGTTACAACTCATTTGGTTAGAAACAGACTTCGCACAAGACATTTGAAGTTTGCATGTAAATTACTATGAGAAATCTCAACTTTTTGTTCATTGCCTTCTAGTCTTTTTCCATATTCAGCTGCGAAACAGTTCGATAGCCATTATTATAGAAAATTTTCTCAGCTACAACTTTGCCCAAGATCGTTTCTATGTAAATCGAGATAGGAAAAAGTTATTAATTATTTAAGAGATTGGTAAACTTATGACATGATCAAGCAGCTACTCTGTAGGCAACACTGTATTTTGCAGTGTGACATAGTAGCCATGATTTTTGTGTCCTATTCAACGCCCCAGAAACACCAATGTTGCCTGCTGAGCAGTTGATTGAGCATGATCATAAGACATCAGCGCATTGAACCATTGATAACTTTCGATCCTTGCATTTAATCAAAAAGTGGTCTTCAGGAAATTTACAGTTGTTTGCTTTTGAAGCAGACCAATATGGTGAATTATTAGATAGACATGAACAAAAATTTTGGTTTTACCATAGTAATCCCCATACAAACTTCAAATGGTTTGTGCCATCTCAGTTTCTCACCAAATGGGTTCAAATTTTGAGAGGTGAGTCAGGATCCGATTTGGAATCGTTTAAGTATTGTGGAGCGAAAATTTCAAATTTTGCATCACTCTAACTTCCACGCTGGAAAGGTTCAGGGTCGCCTGTCTGCGATCAAACCACCAGATCATTCGTGATTTGGCAACCTAGTTTAAGTAGTTTGGTAGGTTCCTGTGCTCAAGTAGGTATCAAAGGGTATCCTGTCAATTAGCGCTAAATGCAATCATCACATTAGAATAACCAATAAACTAGAACAAAGTTGAAGAGCCAAAGGCTAACCAATTGAAATGTAAAACCAAATATTTAAACTTAAAAAACCAGCAAATAAACGTAAAATTTACTACTATACGCTTTTGCTCATTACCGCCTCGGACGGCGTTGCGTTTGGTCCTGCAGTAAGCAGGAGCAAGTCAGAGGTTGAAGGTGACTTGGGTCCCGTTCAAATAAGGCTCTGAACCATTTGGCGATTTTTTTAAACTTTGGTTAAATTTTGACATCTGGAAAGTTATGAATGAACCCTGCTATCCGAGCATGGTTATTTCTGACAGACAAGAAGTTAAATTTTGACAACCGTGGGTCGAAAACCGGTCGATCGACATCACGGGGAGTTTCGAACATAGAAAATAACTTTCGAAATGTCACTTTTAGCCACGAGTTAAATTTAACTCGGCAATTGGTTCACAGCCTAAGGGGCTGTTCATTAACTACGTAGACAGTTTAGAAGGGGAGGGGGGGGAATCACTTTACGTTGCTTATATGAGGTCAATATTAGAATATTGTAGCGTTGTTTGGTCACATTATATGAAAAAGCCTGAAGAACGAATAGAGTCAATCCAAAAGCTGTTTTTATTATATGCACTGCGTAAGTTAGGTTGGACGGCTTTTCCTCTCACGTCATATGAAGCACGTAGCTTGTTGATCAACATTCAAACATTGAAAAAACGTCGTGATTATGCAAAGATTTCTTTATTAAACAATATCATTTCGCAACGCATTGACTCAGCTGATCTATTGTCAAGATTAAGTTTGTATGCACCTTCCCGACAATTACGCAATCGACACTTGTTCGCAGTAGATCGCCATCGGACCAATTACGCTAAATCAAATGATGACTGTTTATCATCATCATTGTGAAATGATTGACCTAAATATGCCCTCAACAAAATTAAAAATATATTTCAGAACCCTGCGAAGTCATAGAACATAAGTCCTAATGTTAATATGTAGTCTACGATTTGATTGATTGACGAATAAATAAATCAATAAATAAATAAATAAGAGAGGCTTGTGACTGGGAAAACTATGTTTGTCAATCAGGAAAAAAAAACGGAAATTCTTTAGTCCAGTGGCGACCCTGGAACAGCATTCAATTTTATAATTCGACATTAAACTCGTTTCAATCATTTCCCATTCATCTTATTTTACGTAAATGAAAAAAATAATCATCATCATAAGTCACATGCCTCCGGCAACCGGTCACAACATAAAAAAACGGAAATGTTATGAATGACCGTTTTTTTTTTTTAGTTTTCACGTTTTCATTTTCATCTACGACTGTCAAAATTCACCTCCCACGACCCGGGCCTGCCAGCTAGCCAATTACTCAAGTGAGACAAAAATCCAACCAACAAGCGGAAACGACCAACCAACAAAACAACCCATCCTCGTCGACGCTGTCGTCAGCACGTGTACATGTGGCGTATGAATTGCTTTGCTATTCATAGTCCCTCGAGGGGAATACCGTAGAACTCCGGTAGTTCGAATCGCAATAAAACGACGCTCATTCAGCATTTGATTAACCGGTATTCCTACTCTGGTGCGCAACGCCCTTTGGGCTCATTTTTAGAGTTAAACCAATCCTAAATGGGCGCCGATTAGTTGCGATTTTAGCATTTCAAACTAGTGGGGTTCTACGGTACAGCAGAATAGCAAATCTGCGCATTCTGACGGCGGTGCGGGGAAACATTTCACTAATTGAGATTTAACATTTTTCTGATATTTTTCATTCTTCTTTCATCTACAGTCCAAACCCGTCAACAGACTGATCCCGCCAAACATTCATACGACGCTTCAGCGGCACCTGAGAAATTCAACGAAAGCTCCCTACATACCACAGTAAGTATTCCGGTTGGGGTTTGCTATGGGATTTGCTCTAGTCGATATGTGGGACAGTGGAACTTTTCCCAGGCTATCCAAAATCTTTCGAATCTATCCAAAATCTGTCGAATCTATCGCAAGATTATTCAACTTAATTAGGCGAAAATCAACTTAATTAGGATTACTAATTTACTACAATTGAAAAGTCTGCCAACCAAGCTTACAAATGCTCATTTCAGCTAAAATACTATTTTTCGAAATTATGAAACACTGAGATATTATAATGATCGTTGTATTTGAAAGTTGCAAGAAGAGGATGTAAAGTTTGTGTATGGCCCATAAAATCTGTCCATTTCGCTTTCAGAGGGTCACAATTAGCGATTTTATGATCGCTGAGCGCTCGCGAAGAGTGAAATAAGCATTTGCAAGCTTGCCTCCAACATGCACATGCGGTGATTTCTTACAGCTTGCGCATTTCTTCCGTGCACAATTGTAATAACATCTTAAACTACTATCCAATTGACTGTATTGGCGGAATGCTACTTCCGCTACTTGTCAAAAATCCCATACGAAATCTCAAAAATTAAAAAAAAAATAACACCACTTTCATCTGTCAAAACACCGTCCGTCGACCCATTTCAAGTACAATTCATAAATTTTCTTGACGCTGCAACGACGCCGGCTCAGACGAAGGAATTTATCCTTGAAATGAAGCAAACGATCGTGCCATTGTGCCGGGCCTTTGGCGTTGGAAAATCCTCTCATCCCCACCCGCAACTCAACGATCCGCCTTTCTTTTGTCTGCTCACTCATAGAGACTAACTGACGGACTGTGGAACATAATTGATCCTACCGAGATTTATTGCAGAACCCGGATTCCGCCGTCTAGTAATGGAAACATATTTTCAATGTCTGTCCGTTCAAATCCGGCGTCATCGTCGTCGTCGTCGTTGTCGTTCTCGTTCGGTACATTGGCCTCACTTGTCTGTTTCGTTCTTTCTGTCTGTCTGTCTAGCTTATGTACGTATGTTATTGCTTATTCAGCTGCGAAATAATTTTTTTGGCTGTTTTTTTTTTCTCATATGCACATATCTAGCAGCAAATTCATAAACACGTACCACTCGGATGATAGGCGACAGTCTGCTTTCACCGCAGGTTAATCTGGGAACAGCAACTGTGTGGCCACTCATAAGTCACCGAGCTGATGTAGCAGAATTTAGTCAATAACGTTTAGTTTTATGTCACCATTCGGTATTTTGTGCTTCTTAGGATCATTCCAGGGGAAACAGGGGAGACAAATCAGAAGGGCCTAACTTGAAACATAAACAATTACTTTGAACGTCGATTGCTCACGAATGACCACACACCCACGCAATCTACACCATCTAATACACCAAAAATTGATTTTCTGCTTCAGCCATGATTTCAACATTTCCTGCTCCGCAGTGACAACTTTAGGATGCTTACGAAGTTCGTGCTTCATTATACTCCGGTATATTTCGATCGGCCGCAACTCCGGTGTGTTTGGGGAATTGAAATCCTTCGGCACGAAATTGACCCCAGAACGTCCTTGAAGTAGTGACCAAAACCAGCCAAAAACTGATAGGAACGTTGTGTGATTTGAGAAACGGAAGCAGTCGGTTCTTCAGGCACTCATTCATATAGACTTGGCCATTTACGATAGGAGTTGTTACGAAAGGCTTGCTCCGTTTTCCACACGAACAAATCGCCTGCCAAATCATGAATTTCTTGGGGAACTTCGACACTTGCTGTCTCCTGAGGAACTCTGAAACATCGAACTTGTCTTTCGGAATTTGTTTGTAGTCCGCTTTTACGTATATTTCATCGTCGTACAGCTTACGTGCCCGCGTTCTAGCCAGTGCTGCACAATTTCGATAATACACGGTGATATTCAAAATTTTGCTTTGGTCACTCGTTTGAGCTAACATTCATCGTCAAGGCAAACCATGTCAATTGTCAGTGGCATTTTTGTCAGTGACGAACATGTGCTGATTTGTTTATTAGCTAAATTTAAAATGAAATTAAATGGCTTGAGGAAAACAATTACATGGACCCATTAAAGTGAACAAGCATCTACGTCCTGAACAGCTTGGATAAAAATAATGTGACTCAGAATGCAAGAAATTACCCTTTCTGTTACCAGGTGAGTCTTTGTCATTGACGAAAAAATGAATGAGATTTTGACAAAGATTTTTTTGAGGATCAAGTCTATCATTGACTATGTGAAAAACAATTCAAGAGCCACATGTGAAAAGGGCATACAAGCTTTTTGTAAACAAACCTTTGTAGGCCCTTTTCTCGCCAACCGAGGGTCACCCACGCAAACTAACAACATCATCGGGAAGGGTAAAGTTTTCCCTACCCGTTGATGACAATGGTTTGCGTTGGTGTCCTATGGGTGGCGAGAAAAGGGCATAAGAAGGTTTGTTTACAAAAAGCTTGTATGCCCTTTTCACATGTTGTTCTTGAATTGTGTCAATATCGCGCAAAAGTCTGTCAATGACAATGACCAATCTCAGCACTGGTTCTAGCTGCCCTATTCTTTTTGTCAGGTGCAGTTTTTTTGCGACATCCCGAACGGAATAGTTGATTTTGCGTTTGAGGGCAGCAACCACTCGCTTGTGATCTTCATTGCAGTATGGAACACGTTTTTTGTGGCACTCACTTCCTTCCGATCGACAGTTAAACCGTTAAACATTCTCCGAAACGTTTTATGATAAGAGAAACAGTAGATTGTTGGATTCCCAACATCTTTCCGATGGCTCGGTGCGAAAGATGTGGGTTGTTAAGGTGAGTGTGCAACATTTCCTCGCGCGCGCTGTTCCTTCGACTCCATGTTTATAACTACTAGAAATTTCACAATGAAACTCACGTAGTGTAATCAATACACACTGAGGCCATCTCACCCAAAATTTGGTTAAAATTAACCCAAAGGGTAAAATGTTACAGCAGGGCTGGTCACTTTTTTCAAGGCGTTCACAAAAAAGTCTCCTTTTTTAAGTCCAAGTCATTAAAGTCACTTTTTCTTGTAATCAGTTAATATTTTCAACTTTTTTAGTGTGAATTTATTTCAAGATTGAAAATTATTTGCTTTGTGACGTTTAATCGTCTTTCTCTGTGTACAGGGTTCTACTATTTTTTCTAAATAAAATTACCTGTGTTTTCCAAGTAAGTAAGTAATATTCAATATCTTGAGGTTTCGTATTCCATGTACAAGTTCAAGATATTGAAAATTTTCAAAGTGCCAGAATTAAGGAAAAACATTATGATTTATTTCAAGTTCGTAATTAACTTTATGAAACATTAGAGCAGACCCATTAACTTCGAAACAATTGTAGAAACTTTGGAGTTCTGAGAAATAAAAGGAAATGCGAAAAATTTCCTTGAAGCTCCATAAACAAACTGTGGGAACATAAGGGAAGGGAATACGCTGAAAATATATAGAACTTACTGGAGCGGTTCTTTTAGCATCCGAAAAGTTTCAAAAACTTTTATGAAGTTCCTAGAATTTTAGGTTTCAAGCGAACTTGAGAAACATATAAAACTTGAGGGGTATTGTGATTTTTTTAAGAAGTTGTAAACACCTCAGAAAAGCTATATTTAGAGATCTTTAGGGAATTTCAGATCTTAAGAGCAGTTCCCGTATCTTTAGTCCACACTTTTGGAGCAGTTTAAAAGATCTATAATCGTAAATTTAGAAAAATTCAGGATAGTTCCATGATGTGCTGAAAAAGAAATCGAGAACCTTTAAGATGTTCCAAGAATTTCAGGGAATTTATGAAAACTTCAGAAATATTTCAGGAAGTTCACAGAAGTTCAGAGAATTTCAGAGAAATTAGAAGGTGTCTACGGGAATTCCATTTATTTCCGAGCAGAATCGAGATCTTCAATAGAATTGAGTGCCTTCAGCAAAGCTCCGAGAGAATTTCTGAAACTTGATAAAAATCATATGAACATCCGGAAAACATGACAGTATTTTAAAGGTGTTATATCATGGAGATTTCAAAAACTTAAAAAAATAATTTTACTTAGTTGATTAGAAAACATCAACAAAGTTACATTAATTACAACAAAATGCGAAAGCTTTTAGCAAGCAGCAATATCTTCAAGAATTCCAGAGAACTTCTAATAAATTTATATATTTTATGATAGTTTCATGATATTTTGTGAAGTTCCGAGGACGATCAGCTAGCTTCAGAATAATCCCAACAACTTAAGCAAATTTGTAGCGACTTACAAGGACTTCCGTGGAACTATTGGATATCCCTAGAGTTCTATGATTGATCCGAAAACGTCAGAAGGGTCAGAGAATTATGAATATATATACATATATAAGAAAATTTGCCGGATTATTTAGAAAATTTCAAGTATGCATAAATAAGTTCAGGGAAATTTAGTGAGCGTTTATAATGGTTATAATACTTCAGGAAAATTGTCGAAACTTGAAGGCAAATCAATAAATTTCAGCAAAGTTCCGGGTTCTCACAAAATACTGATAAATTCAGATCAGTCTAGAGATCTTAAAAGAAATGTAGTAATCGTTCAGGCTGTTTTAATAACACTAGGAAAGTCTAGATCATTGAAGAAGTTTTAAATTAGTGTTGATAATTTGAGAGAAGTTTCATGAACTTCAGAAAAATCTTGAGAACTTCAGTGAAGATCATTGAACTATATTAATTATTTAGATATGATTCCATAAAAATTGCAGGAACACAATAATTCCAGAAATTTAGAACAACTTCGGAAACTTCACAGAAGGACAGTGGTCTTCAGAAACATCTCGAAAACTTTATTGAAATATATGGAGCTTAAGGGGAGATCCGCGAACTTCAGGAATTTTTATGAACATTAGCAAAATGTGGGAGCATTTGAAATAAGTTTAGTAAGCCCCGAAAATTGGAGGAATTTCATGGGTTTTCCATTAGTTTCAGAAAACTAGTGGGAAATTGAAAGGAGTTCCTAGATTTTCAGATAACTTCAGAGACGTTAAAAATTAA